TCCCGCAACATATTATTTTTGTATTACTATTACTTCAATATATTTCAGTGCATTATCATTACAATTTCATTTTTTTGCAAACCTATTTTCAGCATATTATCGTATTATTATCATTACTTCAATATATTTTCAAGAGTATTGCTATCACAATTTCTTTGTAGTATCACGTCTCCAGCGCTATCGCTATCCCGAGCTTTGCCGGTATACATCAGGCAGACTCAAAACTAAAGAGTAACACTTTGGACCGGCAGGCCGAGATCAGTCGAGACGTAACACTAATAATCTTGACGAGGGTCTCGCGACATAAAGAAAGAGAAAATTCGAAAAGAAAAGTACGACTATAGAATAGATGCGAGTTTTATTCGACAGCGCGCGCCGGATAAACTGACTAAGCTTTTAATAATATATAAACCATAGTAATGTGTAACAAATATTTCTAATTTTTACCTGGTTTCAAAATTTAATTTTGTAACATCTCTTTTATTAATAATTAGCCCGACTTTTATTAAAAACTTGCCGCTCCGTTTTGCAGTATCATTTAGGCCAATTTAGGGGAATATTGTTAAGCGCAGATCTAATCCCTTGGCTTTCAACTGACTGACGAAAAACAAGACGGCCGTTACAAGCTCATTCCGGACGTTAATCCCTCGCGACAGAAATTATGCGCGAGTTTATAAGGAACTCTTCACTATAAGACACTCTTCACTGGGTATTTCATTGCGCAATCACAGTTTAAAGTGAAAATATTAAAATGTCATCATTCTCGAGATTAGAAGATTGACTTGGAAAAATGAAAACTATTAATCATACTTAATCCCCGGACTTTAAACTTCAAAAAGTGAAATAAATTGATTTTTGTGTGCGTCTATATTCGTAATTATTTCTGTTGGATTTAATTATATCGAGCAATTGTGTGAAAACAAAATTCAAACAGCAATTACCGAATATCTGTTTCCTATTGGAATATTATAATGTGATAGATAAACTCTGAACTAGGACAGCCAGAGTTCAGCAATAGAGAAAACAGACCCATTATTTCGAATAAATAAAAAAATAACAAAAGATACATTCTCTGGAGAGTTTCTTGAAGATAAGCGTCTTCCTTGTTGTTCCATGGATGTGTGTACGAAAGAACCCGCACTTTATAATATCCGCTATTTTCTTTGTGGACATTTCACTGATTATGACGGCGCGCCGAGGAAACTTTTTCCAACCACGGAAAGTGGCGCGTCCGCGCTCCCGTGCGCGAGTTAAGTTCGAAATCGTTGAATTGACGTAACTTTGAAACTCCGACTCCGAGCGACCTCGTCACTCTTTTCTTTATGGAATAATTAGCCAAACTTTCGAAAAGCGTCCCTGCGCCCGACGGGGCATCCACCTTGTCATGTTTAGTCGACATGCACGTTTTTGCCGTCCGTGTCATTCTCGGAAAACCGGAGGAAGGGTCACCAAATGCCGAGGCGTTTCCGACAAAAATGTTGAGTTCGCGCGGACACCAGGATTTGCGGGCTAAAATGTGCTAATTTCAAAAACGCAACGAAACCACTGCGAGCCTGACTTAAATACGAAAATGGAAACAGAGATTTACTTATGAACCATCGTGCATACAGTACTTAATCGTTGGAAAAAATATTATAAAAATATTATTATAGTTTTGTATTACATTAATTTCGTTTAATAATAAAATACGTAATTATTAAGTTTTATTTATTAATTTATGATCTTAGCTAAAGGTATCAAGCCGGGGATTTCTTTAGAAAGTGTACGAACTCGTATTTCTATCGGTATTAATGCGATAAGTTGCGGCTTCTGTATGATTACGGATTACGTAAAATAACGTGTGTGTGTATGCAAAGGATGTAAAATCTTGGGTATTACTGTCGCGAGATAATAACCGAAATTATGGCGGGCACCACGCCGATGCCATATTCGCACGAGATTTTTATTAGAAAAAAAAGGTGCTACTACGATAAAAGACGATTTTCTCCTGTGAATTCCAAACAACGCTTACAATCGCGCATGCGTGGTTCATTCGCTTCACAAATGCAATGCGTGTCTCATTTATTCATACCTGCTGGCGATTAATTATACGGCGTATAATACACAGCGGCGATTAAAAATTAAAATATTGTAATAACTCCTAATGCAGGAGAGAAAGAGAGGAGGGGAAAGAGAGACACCGTGCAATGAATCGACACAGACCGCGGAACGTGCCTAGTGTGTTATTCACGATACGCTTGTACAAGTTAATGCGGTTCGGTCGTATTATGCTACCGACTAACTGTGTATTTTAGCGAGATTAATGAGTTCAAAATATAGAGGTCATTAATATCAGATCGCTCCGCGCGTCCACGGTTAAGCGATTTTTTTCTTTCCGGCAAGCGTATCCATAAACGTCATTACGCATTTAATAATAATGACGCTATCATTATGCTTTATCATGCGCCGTAAACCGTCAGCTGTCCGTCCCGAGCGAAATTACGTAACGCGGGAGAGAGAGCGAGGAGATCCAGGCTGTAATTACAATGAGTTTAGTTAATTTAGAGTTTAATGACAAGGATCCAAAAATATGGAAGAAAAAAAGGGATCTTAATCTCTTGCGTCTTAATAACGCAAAAAAAAATTAAAATTTACATTTTAATGTCCGAAAGATGTCCAGCATTTAACACTAAAACTACCGGAGATTAATCTAGATTTATTTCTACCGAAGAAATCTTAGAAAAGAAAAGAGAAAAAATTAAAAAATTTTCAGAAATAAAGACATTTTAAAAATAAGTAATAAATTATTTAAAAATATTAAACAGTTTATTTTGACACCTTTGGTAGTTCTAGTGTTAACGATAAAAAGGTACTTCACAGCCGAGGGAGCCTCGATCATCCTTTGGTCGTTATTCGTCCGTATTGTATTTTATCTTCGCGGAGAAAAATACGATACGCATTCGTCGTATTCGACGTATTCAATGCGTAAAAGCCATTTCGACTCATCATCCCGCTTGGCCGGAAAACCTCAGAAAATGCATCGTTTATGTGCGGAACCAGGAAAAGGAAGGAATCCTCGGCAGTCGGGTGGTTCGGATCGATTAATTATTTAACGAAACTCCCTCCCGCACACTGCTCACCTTCTCTTCCTCCTGCTTGCCCACCTCCATCCACTTCTCGTTGCTCGGCCGGCGTTTTAGCCCCGAAGCATCGGCCGCTCGTTCCGTCTATGTTTCCATCCCGTGCACCCCCCCTCTCTCTCTCTCTCTCTCTCTGTCTTTTCCCTTTTGCGCGTCGACACCCTCGTCGACCCCAACGGCCGTCACCGGTCTGAAATTTCATCGTGAACACGAAAATCGTAACTTCGATCGCGCATAGCACAACCCTCAACCGTGGTACCTCCGTCTACTGCACGCGAGGGGGATGTTGGTACAACAGATACGTAATTACATACCTTTTGACGAGAAATCTTGCGATGTTACGTATACACGTGCGCAAAGAGCGACGGGCTACAATCGGGATAATATTAAGAAACAGACCAGTGATTAAATTTGAAGCCAAAAAGTATACAACAGTTTTAAAATCACCAAAAATAAATCTAAGGCTACAGAGTACTGTATAGAGAAGTATATTAACGATTATAAGAATCATGATTATAAAATAATTGATGCGCTTCAACAAACAATAAACGGTTGATAACGAAAGCTTGCCTATGGGAACATCTCGAGGCGCAAATGTATCGCTGAAGAAATATGAAACTCGCAAGACTCGGAGAAACGGTGGAGACGCGGGAAACGAGAGGAATAATCAAAGGAGGGGATAGTCGGGCGTGATAAGGGGGTAGGGGCGCAGGATGCACAGACACACACAGTTAAATGGCTCGATAGCTGGTGGACGAGGCGAGGGAGCACAAAGGCGGTGGATCGTTCTTTGCGCTGTTAAAAGGCCCTCCTTCTAAACGACCATGGCGAAAAGGTTCTTCCTCCTCCTCGTAGTCGTAAACACCGCGCGGCGACCTCCCTCTCTCTCTCTCTTTTCCTCTTGCCTTCTCTCCCATTCTATTTTCTCTCCTCATCCCTTATCGCACGTCGCTCCAACTCGCTCTCGTAGCTGGGAAAGAGAAAAAGAGAGAGAAACGCTCCTCCAGCTACCTTCCCTCCGAGCTCGTCGTCCTCTCGACCGCCCCGTGAATTTCATCGCGTACCGGAGAGACGACTCCACCTTCCACGGTGTCTCGTTTCCGGGGTGACGTCTTTTAGCAGAGTCAGCGGCGAAGTCGCTGTCTGACGTCGCGGACGCCTACGGCCGATACACGCGAGAGATCGTATCTTCTCGGTCAGGTTGCGGGATACGAGATTTCACAGCGCGCTGCTCGATCGCCGGGAGATCGGGAGAGATGACGGGCTTCACCCTCTCTCGCGCGTCGATATACTTTGAGAGGATATTTAAAGAGATCCGAAAGGGCGGACGAGCACGTCGCGCGTCGGTGGCACGACTATCGGTTAAACAAGCATTACCCTCCCCCTTGCTTCCTTTATCCACGGTATCTGTCTCCTCGTATTTCCTTTGCGGGTTTACCGCCGCTTACT